AATAATAAAAGAAGAAGAAGAAAAAGAAGAATATTTTGAGCGTTGAAAACAAAAACACTGTCTTTTTTGCACAGAACCCAGTGTGTCCAGCTTTGTGTCACTAGTCTGGTCTAGGATTCTGCATAGTTGAAATTGACAGAACTGACAGAATGGAAGGACTGGAAAGGTATGCGTTTTTATTTTTTAAATCTTTTTTTTTTAGAATAAGATTTTTACGGCATTTGGTATACAAATAGGTCATATAAATGGCAAAGTTTGGAAGTCTTACAAGCGAGTAACATAATACCAAGAAAAGTTGGAGAGATAAGGGCGATAGATCTAGATGTTTGACATGACAGATGGAACAACAGGTACCAGAGCACCCGCTACTTTCGTCTTTGTATGTATGTATAGTATAAGGTTTTACGGCGCTCGCAACTACTTTCGTCTTTCAATTTTTGTTTTGTTTTTTTGTTTTGCTCGAAGAACAGTAGTGTAACATGGTGTATGTTTAATACCCCAATTTGTAACGTACAAGGTAATTCAAGAGGTATGTCTTCTTATAGGGTTAAACAAGCAAAGTAGAAAACCTCTCTTTTCGACAAAACGCTCCTTTAGGGATTCTTACAAGGGTCAGCCACCCCACAATACACTGGAATCGAACTCAGAACTTCTTCGTACGACACTGAAACGCCTAAACGCTGTACCACAGACGCGTCGGTTTTCACTATCTATTCTCTTTACCAAGTTTATAGGTCTCAAGTTGTAAAGCCCCTCCCCCTTCTTTTAGACGATCACAGCATCCAGTTAAAAACACAACTAACAATCCTTTTCTCTGTAATCTTAATGTTCTCAAGCCTTCACGCAATACAAAAGTACGAACACAATTATTGTTCCCTTAAGCGGAGATTTGAAGGGCTAATAAAAAAAGAGAACAACATTTTTAACGTAAGGTAAAAATTGTATCATTTGCCAAGCTGGAAAAGAAGCACAACTCAAAGCAAGCTTTTATTCTATAATGTGCTTTTGGATTAACTCCGAACAAAGAATTTTGTGAACAGTTTAAAATCAAGTGAAGGTAGGTAAGACAGTGCTCTTATTTTGTAATATTATTGTGCTCTGAAAATGGGAAATGAAAGCTTGGTGGTCTCATTTTATGGACGCTGCACCGAAAATAAAGAAGCACATACTCATAATAAACTACAGCAAAACTAAAGATACGACCGTAACCCACCGAGGATGTTCTTTCTGTTTCTTTGACAACGCTTGAAGTTTAAAACAGAAGTTAATATGATCCTATCCAGTTGCGAGCGGCGTAAAACTTTTATCAAACTAAAACAGAAGCATAACATTGTTATCCCTACCAATTCTTTTCCCATTCCCTTTTCTTGATTTAGAATGTAAAAAGACAGAGAGCAGCATATTATGAACAATTAAATACGCAATTTGTGAATTGTGTTCCTGTGTGATTGTTGGAAATGTGCTGCAACATTGACGTTAGTCCTCTGGTGTCTTCTACGCCCTTAGTGACTTTAGCACAGACCCGATACAACGCAGTTTTGTTGAACAGTGACTTTGTGAATACTTTCAGTGCATTTCGGATGTCATTCTTCCTATTCTGGACATCTATAATGATTCCTAACGTGATTATCTTCAAGGGAAATCTTTACGATCGTATTCACTTAGGAAATTCTAGGACACTCGTTTCCCATAAAAAAAGCTGAACATATTTTTTTCTTTTTTTTTCCTTCTGATATACAGTGTTGTAAACTACACAAGTGGTAAATATACATTATGATGCTTATGTACACTCTTAGTTTGAAGAGCAAAGTTTGTTTCTAACTGTTTACCATAGCCTTTTCCTTCTGTCTTTTAACTATCTTTGAAAGGAGAATTATAATAGTTAAGCAAAGGTTACTTGTAGTTAGCCCGTTAAAAAATTAAAATGTTTGAATTTGTAAATAGTTGTTTTATGATAATCTTTGTCTCTTATCTTTATACCATTTTCCCCCTTATCAATCTATGTACCTGAGCAAAGGAATGAATGGTTACCATGTCTCCGATTTCTGTCACATAATATGTTGTACTTACAATCATATCTCGTATATCCACTAAGAAAATGCTCAATTGGCTTTACAATACCAAGTTTAATTTGCGATCCTTTTACTCCCTCTCCCCACCCCCTCTTCCTATCTATATCACTCTCTCTCACTCACTCACTCACACACACACACACACACACACACACACACACACACACACACACACACACGCACACTCACTCCCACATACACACACATATTCTCACTCTCTGTCTCTCTCTCTGTCTCTCTGTCTCTCTTTCTCTCTGTCTCTCTTTCATTCCCTCTCCCATTCTCGGCCTTTTTCTTTCCACTCTCTCTCATCAGTTTTTATCAAAATTTCATTTATCAAGACGGTATTCTTTCCTATTGTTCACAGAACAAGATGCCGAACTTCTCCCACATTATTCGTCTAGAAACGCCAAGAGCTCCAGAAAGTACCAGAAGACATCCATACCAGGAGGAACCCATCTTAGAATTGAACCCTTCTCTTACATATCCAGACCCCCTATTTCCGTCTTCGCTCCAGCCGGTTGGAGAATTGAACCAGGCCATTCTGTATTCCTATGAACCAGCACAAATACTAAACCCGGCTTTTGATTATTTAGTGGAGCCGTACACAGAATTGAACCCCCATCTTTTGTACCCGGCGATAGAGTTACCAGCTCTGTATCCGACCTTTGCGCTTCCGGAATACAAAACAGTTGCAAAGTTACAGAAAATGTCTGTAGATGACGCGATGGATTCCCGTGGTTACGACGAATCGTTGGCGAGAGAGGAGGCGTATAAAAGGGTGAGGAATATGACGTTGTTTGTTAAGAGTATGGATCTGAGTAATAATAGACTTTACCGGAGACGAACACTGCCATTGCCGTCCCTCTGTCATCATCATCATCATCATCATCATCATCATCATCATCATCATCATCATCATCATCATCAGCATCATCATCATCATCATCATCATCATCATCAATGCCTTTCACCCCTGGCAGGGTATAGGTCACATACATGGTCCTTCCATTTATCTCTGTCCAGAGCTATCCTTCCGAGCTCGTTCCAAGTGAGCTTCCTTTCTCTCATGTCCCTTTCTACGCATCTCCTCCATGTTTCTCGTGTCCTACCCCTGCTTCGTGCTCATTGTGCGTTCCACTGCAGTGACTGTCTTGTGATGTTTCCGCTGGGCTTCCTTAAGGTGTGTCCCATCTATCGCCA